TCACAATGCAACTAGTAGGAAACAACGTGAAATGCAAACACAAATGAAATTCAGTATTATCAGTAGCCAGCATACAGCAAGTAGGCGGACAAATTCACATTCCGCTCACCATAAACAATATTTCAATTGAGAAAACTTATTCAAATGATAATTTAAACTAATTTTCTTTTATTGGAGCATTAATTTCAAAAACTCGTGCTTCGTGTTTCATCGGGGTTTCCAAAAACTCGAAAACAATAAAAGCACAAGGCCGTAAGCAGAGTGCTTTCATCAGTTTTCTCGTGTTTGGAAACCCCGATGAAACACGAAGCACAAGTTTTTGAAATATTACGTAGCCAAGTCTTCTCATTTATTTTAAGACCTTGAGTAATGGTCCGGCCGGGGCTCGAACCCTCGACTTCCCGCACAACAGTCCAGCGCACTATCCATTAGGGTAACTGGGCGGCGGTTTTGACACTAACAATAGAGTGATTTTACTACACTTGTGAAACAATTACCAACACTAGATCATTCCACCAGACACTAGTTCCATTGTTTTGGTTTGCTTAGTTTATTCTGTAATTGTTGTTGTTTCACGGTGTAAAGAAAATTGCACTAAGTTATATAATATGCGGATTGATCAAAATGATTAATGTAACGCAACAAACAACATGGCGTCTGTGGCTTCGAACACGAGTCATTTCGAAACTAAAGACCAGCAAAGAAAGATAAAAAGAAAGAGTAAAAATATGTGGCTTTGATCCGTATTTGTTGGAGCCAGCCGATTACAAACAAGATTTGGCGTGTTTACCCGCAATTGAAAACCAAGATATAGTAAACTATTGGTACTTCAGACTTATGGTATTTCAAAGAACAAATGAAAGCATACAAGAGCTTGGAAGCTTACAATTTCTTTATATCTGGCTGAGTTGGACAATTACTAACTAAAGAAATCAAAGATAACGGAATACTCGTCCATGCGCGAGTCAATCATTCACAAAGAGCGGGAGAAACTGCTCTTAAACCTTGGTTTGTGAGCGAAAAGAATGGCGACGTTGTTCTCGCCTACTGCAATAGCCCTTATCGCATTTACGCCCACTGTCCGAGAGCTCAGCGGACTTTAAAGTTTCGAAACGAGGTTATCGAGACATAAATGCGATAAGGGCTATTGTAGGGCAGGACTTTGCGAAGAATGCTCGCATGTTGGCGCTCTTCTTGGCTAGACCTTGTTGTGAGATTCAGTGTTGGCGCCCAGTCAGGATTTTCCTCATCTCGTAGGCCGGTCGGAGCTCAGTCCTGAGAGAGTCGTTTGACTCTGTCAATAAGTTGCACGTTCAAGACAGAATTGTAACGTAAAATAGTATTTAGCCCTCACCAGATAATAAATGGTCACTGCAAACCCGAGCATACTTTGCTTGTTCCTCGGTAAGGTCTTGTCTGGATACGTTTCTTAACCATGGCGCACGGCGTCTTGTAGAAAGCTTTTCGTCTCTTTCGTCTCCGTTTTGGATAATACTTGGGATTATGAAAAAAACTCTTTGACGTGTCTCGACGAGCATTATGTGCGCGATCAAAAACAGCACATATAGTGGGCATTGCATATCCTGAAATGCAAGAAAAATTACCCGCGAAGTCTGACAGTTCGCACGTGTAGCGCCGCCATGTTTGTTTTGGTTGTCATCCAACATGGCGGGCATCTCGTCGATAAAATATGCGCGACGTCACTTGAACACGTAGAATTTCCTTCGCGTTGTTGACCCTTGTTGAAATCCTGTCGCGAATTTAGTTTGTAGGCCAGATGCAGTCTTACAAAAGACTGAAGGGCTGGGGATGTCTATGACAAAGAAACGCGTGGTCAAGCCAACATATCACGTCGCACATAACCATACAACAGCTTACAACTGTTACCTAGTTACATAATAAACTTGAATGTCGAATGAAGGACTTTGTCGCCGCCAAGGAAATAACACCAATAAAGTGGTGTTTTTTCCGCAGTGTGGCAACAGGCATGTGTAGAAACGATGAGCTTATTTTAGCCGATCATGCGCTGATTTCCAGCAAAAAATTGCTAATCAGAATACAAGATACCGTGTCACTGTTCAGTAACTGATCAAAAAACAAGTGCCACAAACGGTGCAGCCATATCACTAATGTTCTTGACACATTTTGATGTCTTTCGGGATCTATTATTGAAAAGAAAGACGGCAACATGAAATCCGTTTGTTTCAGTCCTATGGTAAAGACTTAGACGATAGATCAAAAATAAGAACCAATCAATCCGCGTGTTTATCTCGGCTTCCTATTTGAATTTGAATAAAGGACATAAGAAAGTCAATGTTATTTTTTTACCTATTGAACATCTTTTTAAGTAACCTAAATGCAAATATTTTGACGATTGGAAAACGCCCCGCAGGTTTTCGATATACGTGCGATAGAAGTTTCGTTTCGAAGGACGAATCTCGCGGCAAACTAGAGATACGATCCTGTATTCAGACAGGCACAACCTGTCTGAATACAGACAGGTTGTGCCTGTCTGACATCGATTTCTTTAAGTCAAGAGAAAGCCTAAACATTCACTGCGACCTCTACTTTCGTGTTGCTTCTCCTCTGACTCTCGTTAACACGCGCATGAGCGCCAAGGTTGTCTCAACATCACAGGATTGGTGTCGTTGTAAACCAAATCAAACGAAGACTAATTTTAGATAAAAAACTATCACAATAATCATATTTTTTCCTGGATGATTTTCCTATCGGTCGATCACAAGCTTTCCGCTTAGCTTCACCTAAGGTACCAAAGTATGACGGTTATACGAAATGGGGAGTTGGAACAATATACCGGTGGTGAATATAACGAACCTTTCCTTAATTCGATTTGATCCGTCTAAGTCCTTTAATTTGTTTCGTGATATTGGTGACATGTACAGACTAATAATGCGTTTCAAAAATTCCGTGGAAAAATGCAGTTTTGTCTGTATTTTTATCAAAACGTTTCTGTAAGTTTTGTGTACGCAGTAACTCTTTGATGAAGTCGGATTTTCAAAGCTGTAAGGAGTATTAGAACTGGATTGCATGACTAAACTAAGTTGTTTATTAGAATCACTGACTGTGCGTGCCAAGCGAATACTACGCACTGATATCGGACCACAGTTTCTTTTATTAAACTTCTGAATACTTTAAACATCACGGAATGTTTTTGCTGATCGCGTGGGGAAAATAAAATGATAAATAAAATGATAAAACTGGTACTCTGAGGGTTCGCCACTCCTGGCTCCTCCGCTGAACGGGTTCTTTTAAACAAGCATAGTTTCTACAGTCTTTACCTGGTCAAAGCTGGACTGCTCAATTATGCCACGAAATGTAATAGGCAAAATAATTCCAACAACAAACCTTGCGATGAAAGCGTAAACAATTTCAGAATCTTTGATTATCACTGCACGTTGTTCTCGACCGAAAAGAGAGCCGCAGAGAGCCGCTACCAAACATAAAATTAACGAAGTTACGAATAAAGTGGGCAGTTTATTTTCCTTGCAAATGTTCCACAGCTCCTCGCAGTCTATCAAAGCTTCTGAAGCAGTGTCCTCGAAATCGTCTTTGAAATATTTGAAACCCGCAGCCAGCAACAATGTGATGAACAACGCCAGGAAAGTCAGTTGAACGGTAATGAATACCATCCGAGATATATAATCATGAGGAAAACAAGCAAACCACCAAATCATTAAGGAGCCAATCAGCCCTAGAGACACCGCTGCTGCTATTTTAAGTTTTGAAAATCTGTCTTGGTGTCGAAATATGACCAGTGGACGTTCAGAATCAATGCCCAGAATCGCTGTCAAGTTGCAGGCCTGAATGAACATGAAAGAAATCGAAAACACTTTGACAACATTACACGGTTGTCTTGGATTGTACCGTGGATTGTGGAAAAGTCGCCACGTTTCAACTGCTCCCGTGATCACAGTAACAAATTGGCAAGCGCACTGGAAAACGGACAATCCTCTACACTTTTGAAGAAACTTGTATTTCACTTTGTTTTTGAAGCAGCAAAGTAGCATTCGCACGTTAAAGAAAACTCCTACCAAATCAAGAACTGCTAGCAGAAGAAAATGTGTCAAACTCATGATATCTGAGTTCACCTGAGCGATGTTGCTTTTCGTAACAGGCACAGGTTTACTTGATTTGTGATTGACCAACTGTTACTGAGTTTCTCAATTATAAACAATACACTTTTGTTTCGATGGTAGTGTGGGAACTGCAAGAGTTGTTCAATCAATCAGAACGGACATATTCGTCAGTACTAGTTGGTGGACCAATAGGAAGAAAGTTGAGATTATAGGAAATCGTGAGTACACGACAGAGTTCTTAATCCCGGCACTTAACAAAGATAGTGCTTGTGTCCGAACATCTGCATATTGCGTTAAATAAAGGTATTGGTGCAAGTGTGCGGATATTTCGTCTAAATAGAGTCCTAAAGTGCTTACGTCACGTTTCCATAGCACCGGAATTCTGTGGTCTAAACAAACCAATATGGCGTCCCTAGCGTGACACATTGTCGTTGACCTCGAACACTTCAAGAGCTATAATAGCGCATTTTATCCTCCAATAATAGAAATAAGATAAAGAGAATCAAGATAACCTTTGGCCTTACTATTGAAGAGTATAATAAGCGGACAAAAGCACCTGGTGAGCAATAATTCGAGTCAAAACGCCACGGAGACGAAGTTTGCGATGGGCCAGTGTTTTCATCCAGATTGCAATCACACATCTGAAAGCCACTGCTGCCGATTCTTTTCGTTTCCAGACCAGAAAAAACATAAAACACTCTATGATAAGTGGATATCATTTGTAAGGTGAGTATTTTTCGAAAAATATATATTTCGATGCTGTACCATCGATTAGAAATAGCTGTTTTTTTTTTTATCTCAAACTGATTCACGATTAGCTGTTTCTCTTTCTTGTCTTATTTGTTTTCTCGCGGCTTTGNACGAGAACCGATAGGTTGCAAAAAAAAAATTGTTTAAGCTTGCTTTCAGGAAGAATGTAATTTATTATTAAGTTACTATGCTAAATGGAAAAATGTGGGTTCTTTATCTTGTGTCTCTATCTGAGTGTAGAATATGTAATGTTATATTAAGAAATTAATGTATGAAATTTAAAAAAATACCTTTTAACATTAGCTACTGCCTATTTACATTAGCTCCCACTCCCCCCCCCACTCTGATTATGTCCAGCATCTGTGCACCACTTTTCAAAGTTCTCCCTCGGTAATCTTTGGGAATAGTTGATGAAAGTAAAAATCACTCAAGATAGTAATATTGTGCTCCCAAGATTCATCTCGTTCAATCTTGATAACTACACTATCCTTTGTGGTCCATACAACAAAGTAGCAGAATTTGCGCTTTGTCAGGAACATCTGGCCTTGACACTGATGCCAGTAAACATGTGTGGTAGACAGCGTATAATTCCCTTCCTTCTCCTCCAAGTAAAAGTCTTTGTGCCCACAAGCTTCCTTGATTGTCGCATTTCGATGTGTGTAGGGGCACTTACACTCAATCACCGAGTCGTCTCCCACAAGTCCATCAGGGGAAGCACCCAGAACTCCCGACTCGTGTAGCCAAAGGCCGGTCTGTACAGGTGTAAAGTTTGTGATGTTGGTGAAGGATTTCAGGGCCTCAGTCTCATTGTCCTGTCCCCATGCAATTGCTTTAACTCCACTCAAGTTGTATTCCCCAAGTAGTCGCTTGATAAGAGACGGTGTAACTCTTTTTGCCTGGAGGACGGAGCCAAAATTACTGGCAGTCAGGCGGCCTCTACGAGCTTGGTGCCATGCAGGGCTGTTTCGCTGGCCAGCCGTGAGGGTGCTCACAACATTTATGGTTCTCTCCTCTACTTTGGCATTCTCAATCAAGTACTCTAATTGTTTTTCCTTCGTAGATGCCATAAGGAAACCTTCTGAGTAAATGATATCCTCAATCGTCTTGATCGGGAGAGGGGTAGCAGGTTGTGGTTCGGGACTCAAGATCCAGCAGGTCCCTGTAAATTTGCCATAGCGCTTTAGTTCGCTGTACAGCCACATCCGATCTTCTCGGCTAGGATCGCGCGCCAAAGGGCTGTAATCCTTCTTCTTCGGTGGCGCTGGAAACATCTGGCTTGCAGACTGTACGCTTTCTGCCTTTCGCTTTCGTTTCCATTGGCATTCCAGGTCCGTCCTGCTAAGGTTATGGATGCCATAAATAAATATGGCTGCCGCGTGACTGCACTTGAACTCGCCGCGAGGACACTCGCATTCTGTGTTTTTTATTTCAAGGTTTTCATCGAGATAAATCTGATAAAAAGATAATTCGAAACAGACACGTAAGTTGCAATATATATTCCGCAATATAAACATTAAATTGGAGGTGAAATCGGGGTTGGGAGTTCTTCGAATTGAACATACGTGTTGTGATCCCAAATTGGCAACTTACTGTGACTTTGTAGTCCTTATTTTTCATGCTTGCTTGGACTTCACCTTTGATGACTCCCCTGGAATAAATAAAGCTTTGGACATGGTCGGATTTGAAGTGGTTTTCTCCGCGATCAAGCGATTTCCGCTCTCCAGAAAAGAAAGAAACGAGTGAGCATATCGATAAAGACGCCATGTTTGAAGTATGAGTTTAAACTGTTTAGACCAGAAAAAAATGCTGTCATGGCAACGTGACGTCACACTTTAGGACTCTATTATACAGGAGAGTAACACTTCTATTTGTGAGGTCGGTTAGTATTAAAGAAACATCTGGGACTTTGAAGATAGGTGGTGCAAAATCGCGCAAGGTAAATTTTGGATTTTCTCGAAATCTTATTAAACGTTGTTTATCACAATAAACAAACCGGTCAGCTTGGCATGAAGGAGAGATTTTGATCGTAACGCGCAATGAACGCGTTCGCGTTCAAGTCGAGCAAAGAACGGGCCCCTTCCCGATTTTCTTTTGGAGTGAAGGGGGCGACTGTAAACAGACTATCATTCGAGAGCTAGCGGCACTTATTTGGACGCGACGAATGTTTTCTTGAACATAGCACTATCCTTTTTTGTCTACATGAAAATTTCAAAGGAACTAACAAAGAAGTGGTTTGGATGTCAACATTACTTTCTCTGGCACTTTGCAATTCCATTACCAATGGCGTCCTCACCCATCTACTCCTTCTTGATCTGAGTCTACCATCTCCATTGAGGGAGAGTATCCCTCTTCTACCTCTGAGACTGCGCAATCGAAAGGATTTGTTTTTATTTCCCTCACGATATCCAACCGCACATAAAGTATTACAACTTATAAAGAATTTTTTTTGAATGAGTGCCGCACCGTTCGATTTGTTTTTATTTCCCTCACGATATCCAACCGCACATAAAGTATTACAACTTCTAAAGAATTTTTTGAATGAGCGCCGCACCGTTCCATTATTTTTTTATTTCCCTCACGATATCCAACCGCGCATAAAGTCTGGCAACTTATTAGACGTTTTGTTGTGTAGTATCGCTGAGTATTTTCACGAGTTGTGCCGTATTTTGAATCGCCCTACGGGCTAGTCAAAATACAAATAACGAGTAAGATGGTGTTTAATCTTCCCTTAGGAAAAATGATTTCAAGATAAAATGAATATTCAAAAAACGTTCATTTTAGAATAAGAGGAAAAAAATTGTCGTGACCAGGATTCGAACCTGGGTTATTGCCGTCACTCACACAACCACACCCCTAACTCTCACCCTAAGCCCAATTTCCTAACCCACTTCTTCTCATATCAAAATCAAAATAAAAACCCTAAAAGTCAAACATCAGAGGGAGACAAACAATGGAAACAATAAAACGCAAGATGGCGACTCTACTTCCAATGGTAAAAGTGATATCAAGATGTCATTAGCATTCGTATCGTGTAAAAAAAAAAAAACAAAAATCGAGAATAAAAGGGGTTTGTTTCCGCCTAAACCCTATGATGGGATGTGAATAATTCATCCTACTCCAATAAAATGAAAATAGTTCGGATGGTGATCACTCAGTTCATGAGTATTCAAAATTCTCTAAAAATGAAAAATGGTCCGTTTGAGGTATAAACGTGCGATAGCTTTTTTCTCAATAAAAATGTTTACTTTACTTCAAAAAATAAACTGTAACGCGCGAGTGTGATCACTAGCAGTGACGAAAGTGATTTAAATTCTATACAAAATTCCGCAAGTGAAGAAAATAACGATACATCGACGCAATTCAGTGACAATGATTCGAAGAGAAATAATTAAATCTCCCGTTTAAAAATATTATCAGAAAAAAATCGAACTTTTTAGGGTATTCAAAAACGCAGCACCATGCTCATGAACATTCCCATTTCTCGGGAAAAATGAGCCATAGAGCAGACAAACCGGGGGAAAATACGAAATGCCAGCAGGTGTTGTAACCCAGGCAGTCTCATTATTATCTTTTCATCAAATTTTAATCAAGTCATAGCATCCTTACATGTTTTTCGGATCAAAGTCAATGACCTGTCTGTCCAAATTGTTTCCGAGTTATGATGTGTGTCAATCAATGATAGACCAATGGAAATCTAGCAATGGGTGTATAAGAGAGGCTATGAGTCGGATGGTATGATCATACATGGGACCAAACTGATGATGAAGAAAGTTCGATTTCATCCAATCAGACATGTGGTATAATAAACCTCGAGTCGTATATTGTAATTAAAATTGATTTAATCTGATTTGTGCCTATTTACAGTACAACCTAACCTATTTACAGTACAACCTAATTTATATTTGTCGATGTCGACGAATGTCTTGTCTCGCTAAAAGCACTGATCAAGTTAATGTACAGCAATTAGTTTCAAATGTCAATCGATTAGATCAAAGGTCCACTGTACAGACAAAACATTACATAATGAATCGCTAAAACATGTGTCATTTCACGTGGGTCCGCGTGTAACATGTGCGCAGAATCTGACACTCCCCAAAGTTTAATCACGCCGTGAGAAACTTTCAACGTCCAGATTTATCAAAAGAATTATTTACAATAGACTACTTGACTTCAACTCGATTGGAATCAAATGTTGAATGACTGTAGAATATTCAAATTTTAACAATCTGCTGTTGTTCTCGTAGTTCGCGGTTCGCTCAATCATTCGAGACAGAATAAAGGCTCATTTTAAAAAAACAACATTTAATAACAACAACATTACCACGCCATCTTGAAGGCGTGCTCATTCCTTCTTCTAACCACAGTACATTGCGAACATAATCGTGACGCGACGTCACGACATGGGTAACGACATCCGCGTCATATGACCCTCCTCAAATAGGTCAGTCGCTTGTCGCTGTTTCCGACTTTGACGATCGCAGCACGAACCCTTCCATCCGCTCCAGGAATAAGTTCCTCGACTCTTGCATTTAACGATACCATTTTCTAGAAATAATCCAAATTGTGAGACGTAAGACGGCGGCCGGTACACTTTTGTTTTGCCTATGATCACGTAGAAACTTGATTTCTAGGGCAGTAATAATTTCAGTTCCACTACTAGAATTTGACTTGGTTCGCACTGTGTTACTCAGCTTGTTTACAAATTTAACGACGAGGGCGGTTACGCGAAGCAATTTCGTCAGATCGCTAAATCGCGTGATGTCAATTACATTGTCAACCTTTGGAGTAGTAGGTTCTTTCGCTGCACTATTCACCAAGGAATGAGTGACATTAACTGCATTCTTTGAAGTTTCCTTAAGCGCTTCTTCATCTCCAAAATAGGTCGACTCGTTCTTTGGCCATTCTGGCTCCAGCTGGTATTC